TTGTTTGTCATTTCTCCGATCACAAATGCAGACATGGTTTTATGTTTACGCGGTGCGATGCAACGCGTAAAAAGACAGTATAATGTTGCACTGGATACAACAAATGCCTCGTTAATAATGGGTTTTCATGTTTTTGTCTCGTCGCTCCGGCCTGACAGGGCATCATCACAGTATGGTAAGGGGCGTAACATTTCCGTCACACGCTTGAGGTATTCGGCCAATCACAACGCACTGGATAGCTGGCCAATCACAGCACACCTCGCTTTTCAGAACAATGAGCTTTGTAAAAATCGATGCGTTTCAGAAGGCGGGGCATAGAGGAGAAACAATAATGTACATTATGTGGAAAATAATGTGTTTTTTTAACCTTAAATCGCATAAACACATTTCATTACACCAAATACACAAAATAATGTTATTTTTAAGCAACATCATATGACCCCTTTAAATTGACATGAACATTTCAGAATGCAAAAACAAAAAATATAAAAGTGTATGTATAAAAAAGTATATATTTTACATAAAGAAAATTCTGCCTATATTTAGGACTATTACTATTTTCAGTGTAACTTTACTGTCATAACAATTAAGCAAATTTTGCTCCCCAAAATAATCAAATCCCACTCGAATTCCCATTACTCTCAAGTGATTTTCATACGTAATACCACAAGTACATTAAAAAAAAAAATTTAAATCAGCATCAAGACAGTACAACAAATACTACCATGATGTGTATAAATATTTTGCAATTTTCACATTACAATCTGAATATTTAATGGAAATGTGCTTAATTGTCACATTAAAAAAACATTATTGGTCCTAAAATGGGCTTAATTTTTAAATTCATGCTCTGGACTGCTTACACAGCCAAAACGATTTTCTGTTGTAATCAACATCAAACCAAAGACTTGTATTATGTATTGTACTATGACTTGTATTGAAATCCTATTCCTTCAAAGGTACTTGATGATCCCTTTTATTAATCATATGTCAATAAAATGATACCATGCATGATTATGTTTCACTTCTGGTTTAATTTCCTATAGGTCTGAGTCCAAACTGACCACCACCGTATCACCGATCAGCATCAGATCAGTGTATGGTGAGCAGACCACAGCACCAGACGAGTCTAGTATGATATGGAGAATGAGTCTGCAAAGGTTTTATGCAGAAATTTAATAACTGCTGTTTGTCCGATCCAAATTAATGGGTGAATCTCACATGTCTGGGCCACATTTCAATCCAAAATCAGATTACAAAAGATGCAATTAATTTTTCCATGAAGATCTTTTGCATTGTGACTCAATATTCATGATAATCAAGAACATTTCTCACAGAATTCAGCTTTACAATAATCATAAATGAGGTGAAATACAACCTGGACTTCGTGAGATCCACCCTGGAGTTGGTGAAAACATCCAGACTATTATCAGTCGAACTAGCTCTGTGACCGAGTATGTGTGCGTGTGCTTCGCCTGCATCTTTTGGAGGAGAATTTCCTGCGAGAGTATTTGAGACGGTACGCGGATCACAGATTTCCAAAAATGTGCGATGCTAAGGGTTCAAATATCGCTATGTTTTTTTTTTTAAACTCCAAAACACTGAATTCTGATTGTCTGGAGGTCATAAAAAATCCAAACACACACGTACAAAAGAAAAGAAACTAATAAATAGTACAAATGTAATCAATGTTTCGCCCATTCTTTCAGTTCTGGAAGTCCTAAATTCATCGTCAAATCATTTGCGCTGAATTCTTTGTAGTGTTTGTGTGATATTTTGAAATATCAGGATGGGGTGGATATGTACAAACACCAGTGCAGAGAAGCATCTCTCTCATTTGTGCATCTGGCGCTCTTAAAGTGTAAACAGCTTTTTCATTCAAATCGTTCTTTGTGAACACGTCCATCTGTATGTTCGGACCATGTGAAGCGGTTCACCTGTTTCACAGTCTGAAGACGTTATTTGGTAAACTGCTCCCCTTCAGAAACACCGTCTGAAGTCCAGGGGCTTGTTTCGGTGTTCCTGTAAGCGATTCCTTTCTCGTCCTCCATGCGTGTCTGTCTGTGCCATATGAGAGGATGGGATAACGGCAGAGAGGTGTTCAGGAAGCTGACAGAGGTATCAAGACTCCTCAGTCTCCACAGGAACAGGCTGCGGTGGTTTATTCAGCACTGCTTCAGCTTCATCATACAGCTGGAGACAGAAACACAGTCAAACACTTGTGGTCGACCGATATGGGTTTTTACAAGTCATAATATTTGATTCAAAAATTGCTGAAAAATATTTCCATTTAGGCTACCAAGGCTCGCTAAGGCTCCATTTATTGATCAAAAATACAGAAAAAGTCAGTAATATTGTGTCATATTTTTACAACTTCAAATAATTGTTTTCTATTTGAATATATTTTAAAATGTAATTTATTTTTGAGATGCAAAGCTGAATTTTCAGCATCATTACGCCAGTCTTCAGTGTCACATGATCCTTCAGAAATCTTTCTAACATGCTGATTTGCAGCTCAAGAAACATTTCTTATCATCATCGATGTTGAAAACAGTTGTGATGCTTCATATTTTTGTGGAAACTGTGATAAAATTTTTTTCAGGATTCTTTGATGAATAGAAAGTTCAAAATTGACCTGAAAGAGAAATCTGTCTTTAAAATGTCACTTTTGACCAATTTAATGCATCCTTGTTGAATAAAAGTAATATGTGTGTATGCTTATTCATGTTTTTAATGCAAAACAATGAAAAATTACATGGGAAAGTTGTAATTGTTCTATATTTTGTAGTGTTCAAATTTTATAGTATAATAAAAAATATTAAAATATAATTGAAAAAAAAAAAAATGTAAAAACCTGCGTCAGAATTGACATCATACTTAATTTGACACTAATAAAAAAATATATATTTATTAAAAAAACAATACCAAATACTGTGCTGATAACTGTAATTTAAGTAATATTCTTATTTTTATTACTACTTACTTTTATTTATTAATTATTATTATTTTATTTTACTCCATAAAATGTTGTCAAAATGAGCTTTTAATTCTGAAGGTCCCTAGTATACAGTCTGTAAACAGATGTAGAAGTTACAAACTACAAACTTCTCTGAGCAATCAGTCCTTTGGTCTGAAGTATTTTGGTGGAGATTTGTTATAGAGGCATTCAGGAGAGACGCCGTACCGGAATGAACTGCACATCCTGGAAGAGCTCTTGGATGAAGCGGCGTGAGGCCAGACGAAACCTGCAGTTGGCCAGCAGGAAGGACACCTCAGAGTACAGGCAGATGTCATCAAAAGTGAACGCAAACTTCTCCTTTATCCTGCAGAGGGCAGCAGCGCGTCACGTGGGCATAAAGCAAACACTGAACACACACTCACACAGTATTTCTCGGTTGTTCTTACGTGAGCAGTCCGGTTTCGTGTCCTTTGGTGCCGACTGAAGAGCTGAGGTTGATGACGAGTCGCAGAACCTCTTTCCTCAACAGAACTCTGCAGGCCGGTCCATCCTCAGATATCGCCTTTCCACCTATACAAACACATTCATGAGTGCTTTTCATCTTTTGACTTTCCATTGACCTCTATTGTTTTTATACTGAATGAAAATGTTTAGATTTACGTTATTTATTATTGTTAATCCCTCCACAATGTAGCTGGCTTTAGCTTTTACTTTACTTGCGGGGGGTTTTTTGGTCTCCTAGAAATGAACAATTTATCTGTGACCATATCTATGTTGGCCCTCTTACATTATTTTGATATTTTGATAATATCAAAAAAAATTTTTAACAATTCATTATTAACCCTGTAAATGTAGTAGTAAATCCAAATAAATGTAAGTTTAGAAATTTTAGTTTAATACATGCTAAACAAATAACACCACTTTTATACAATTTGTTAACACGCAGATCAGTGGAATGTCAAATAATGATTGACTGTGAGGCCCCTGACATGATATTACTTATTCATTTATTTAAAATAAAAAAACAGATACTGTTCTGATAACAGGAAGTCAGTGTCAGTGTTTATTATTATTATTAATACTAATTTTATTTATTTGTTATTTTAAGTTAATTAATATACATATTAGGGTGGAAAAGTTGTAAATATTCTGTATTTTGTGTTGTTCCTTTGGATAGTACAACAAAACTGAATAAAAAAAAAGAACTGAAACTAAACATTTATGAGTTATCAAGATAAAAAAACATCAGAATAGAAGTCAAATTTAATTTGATGCTAATCAAGATTTTTTTTAGTTTTTAAATTTAGTTAAAAAACAATATCAAATACTGTTCTGATAACTGTAATTTATTTTTTATGTTTCTTCTTATCATCATCATTAGTAATACTACTTAATTCCTAACTTATGTTATTGTTACTATTATTTTAATTAAATTATTTTATATGCTGGGGTTGAAAAGTTCTAACTGTTCCATCTTGTGTTGTTCCTTTGGAGAGTATAACAAAATTGAATAAAAATAGAATTGGAAAAAATGTAACATTTATCAGTTATCTAGACGAGAAACATGTCAGAATAGACGTCATATTTAATGTGATGCTAATAAAAATATTTTTATTTGTGTTTTTATTAGGGATGTAACGATTCACTCAACTCACAATTCGATTCACGATTTTGATTTCAGTTTTTTTTTACAAAATGAGATTGAAGACATTAATTATACAGTAAATGAAAAGGTGTAGTTTTATTAGGCTATTGCTGCACGTTGATTTGTGAAATTGAAATATAACAAAACTAAATTGAAATTTTAAAACAAACAAGTTACACAAATAAAATAAATTTCTTAATATGAACAAACTAAAGGCCAAGCCGACTTCAAAGAACTAGCGGCGACAAAAGCCGACGGTGTTGTCGCCTCACGTCGGCAGCGTCGGACATTTTAACAGCCTTCTGTCTGTACCGCCTTTATTTACGTGTTTTCATCACTTTCGCTTTAATTCTCGGGCACTGACTCGTTCGTTAAACTGAACATCCAATCAGAGCTCTCACTCGCGCCGATGGCCGACCGTCTGCTTAGTGTGTCCTGGCCTTAAAGGGGTTAGTTCACCCAAAAATGAAAATTAGCTCATGTTTTACTCACCCTCGAAGCATCCTAGGTGTATATGACTTTCTTTCAGACGAATTCAGTCAGAGTTATATTAAAAATTGTATATGCAATGACTGCAATGAAAAAATTCGACTGCAATGATAGAGCTTGGAATAGCCAGGACAATTTTTAATATAACTCCGACTGGATTCTTCTGAAAGAAGAAAGTCATATACACCTAGGATGCTTCGAGGGTAAGTAAAACACAGTCTAATTTTCATTTTTGGTTGAACTAACCCTTTAAGGCTTTGTCTGTGCTCTTTCCATTAAAAATGAGAGGCAACGACTGGATTTTAATCATGATCCAAACAAAGATGCAGCATACATGCAGCATGAGTAGTTTTTAATCTAAACTAGACTGTATAATTTCGAAATTTGAAGCAAAAACAGAATGGTCCGACTTTAGTTTTGTGAAACTATACTACATAAAACATATCTTAACGAAACAGCAGACGAGCCCAAGTATTCACTCTCTGACAGCAGGTGGCACTTATGAACAGCAATGATACAGCGTTTCCTGGATTACCGCTGTAAACAAAGCAGAGCTGCGCTTACGAACACTTTAATATGCATGGTTCAGAAGCAAGATGAAAAGAAAATACCACGTAAACCTTTCTAAAGACAGTCAGTTCCCCTCAGAGACATTCATATAAACTCCTACTCCAATTGTATCACGATTTGTTTGGCATCTCAACCGATTTGAATACTCACATATTTGAATCGATTTTCGACCGGCTCGCAGTTAATCGTTACATCCCTAGGTTTTATTTATATTTTTTAAATATTTAAAAATAATAAAATATACTATCCTGATAACTGTAGTTTAAGTTATGTTCTTGTGTTTATTATTATTTATTTATTTATTATTAATGTTTTTTAAATTTGATTATTATACATGTTAGGATGGGAATGTTGTAATTGTTTTGAATTTTGTATTGTTCCAGTTTAATACAAAAAGAATCTAAAAAACTAAAAATGTTCATTCTTTATCGAGACCTCCATAAAACCTCCATGAATTTCCAACGCACCAGTCAACTTTGGTTGTGAAAAGTTCTGTCTCACTATGTCAGGGGTGCCCAAACTCGGTCCTGGCGGGCCGGTGTCCTGAAGAGTTTAGCTCCAACCCCAATTAAACACACCTGAACCAGCTAATCAAGCTCTTACTAGGCATACTAGAAACTTGGAAGGCAGGTGTGTTGAGGCAAGTTGGAGCTAAACTCTGCAGGACACCGGCCCTCCAGGACCGAGTTTGGGCACCCCTGCACTATGTGGTTTGGAATCTGAAGCAGTGCTGTGCATTGATGGAAATTGGTCTCATCCTCACCCAGTATGAGCTCTGTGCTGGGAGTGCTGCTGGCCGAACCTTGACTGACGGCCGCGTCGCTGCAGCCCGAGATCCCCGAGAACTTGGACTGCGCGACCACCTCCAGGTGATTATGGGAAGGCTGGCTGTGCCACTGAGAGAAACCATCAGACAGATCTGCCGGAGAGAGGATTATAGTATGACAACATAAGACTAAACTACTAATTTTTACTTAAATCTGGGGTTTGAACCTAGAACCTTGCTCACCTGTGCGAGTGTGTGTGTTGTTCAGGTGGCTGTGTGTGTGTGAGCCGAGGACGGTGAGAGCGCTGCAGTAGAGGCAGTTCTGCTCTGTGTGCTCCTGTAGGCCTGTACTCTCATCGTCTCCCAGCAGGTGGTGCTGTTCTGACCGGCTGCTGTTTAACAGCTCTGTTATACTCATCTGCGGCTTTAGTGCAGGACCACGACACGACTCTAAGAAACCCACAAGAACAGACACAACAAACACACCGATTTGTTTAATATAATAATTTTTTAATTAGAATTATATACACTACCATTCTGGGGTCAGCAAGATTTTGTTTAAAGAAATTTGTACTTTTATTCAGCAAGGACACCTTAAATTGATCTAAAGTGACAGTAAAGACGTTTATGTTACAAAAGATTTATAATTCAAAATAAATGCTATTCTTTTGAACTCTGTATTCAACAAATAATCCTGGAAAAAATGTATCACCGTTTCCACAAAAATATTAAACATCGATAATAATAAGAAATGTTCCTTAAGCAGCAAATCAGCATATTAGAATGATTTCTGAAGGATCATGTGACACTGAAGACTGAGTAATGATGCTGAAAATTGAGCTTTGCGTCACAGAAATACACTTTAATTTCAAAATATATTCCAATATATTTAAATAGTTCCTTAAAATGCTGATAATATTGAATAATATTACTGATGTTACTGTATTTTAGATCAAATAAATGCAGCCTTGGTGAGCATAAGAGACTTCTTCAAAAACATTAAAAAATGTTACTAACCCCAAACTTTAGAATGGTAATTTCTATTTAATTATTAAAATTACTATTATTACTACTACTACTGATAATAATAATAATAATAATAAAAATACAGAAAAATAAAGGTGATGCTACAAGCAGTCATACCATCAGATTCTCCAAAAAGAAATTTGGATGATTTTTCTCCAGCAGGAGGGCTTGTTCTCTTCTGGAAATATGATGTTTCTTTAATCTAAAAATAAAGTAAAATCTTATATGTAAACAAAAATTTACACTCAACACAATTAAAACACAGTCATTTTCCCTACCTACAATTTTTTTTTTTGTTTTCTACAAAAAAATAAGCTAAGAACAGAACAAACTGTACATGAAACATGTGGTTGATGTCCAGGGGCAGTGCCAGGCCGATGTAGTCCTCACTGCAGCCGAAGGTGGCGCTAGAGACCATGGAGCGCAGGGAAGAGGAGCGCTGCAGGGTGGAGTGATTGATCGGACTCAGCAAGTCCTCCTTATCCAGAGACGCAAAACTCAGAGCTTTCAAAAACCTGTGAGGAGAGCAAACAAGCACATGCACTGCAAAACGTTAGCATTAATCCTATAAACCTTTCACTTTTATTAGTATGGTCAACAAATGTTCAGAAAAACTGCTACTAATCAACACTTACGACTGAAACAACTAAAAACGTATAACTACTCCTGGACATCCACCTTTATGCAGAAATTAATTTGAATCCTGCCACAAAGCACCCAGCTGTAATTCTGAGTGAACACAAAGGCTGTATCCCAATGCACAAACTAAATAGTATGCAATAGTATGCAAATAGTATGCAATATAGTAGTGCTTACCAAATTATAGTATGAAGAAAATAGTAAGCTAGGATGATTTTGCAAATAAGCCGTTTCTGGTGGATTTTATCATTATAAACATGATAAATCACGAACATGATGTATCCAATAAGAAGAACTAGACACTGTCCCAACTGGACTATCTAAAAGCGTGTGAATTAGGGTGCAGCCAAAGAAGTTACTAAGCTGTTTTAGTTGTTTGAGTCAAGGTGGAATTGGATTCAGCACTACATCAACAAGGTTTGCAGTTTTCCTAAAGGACTGTTTCCACAAGCATCTGACCTTCTGAGTCTTTGAGGTGCATTAGTATCTTGTCACTCACCCATCATAAAATGTGAATGAATGAGTGAAAGATGGTGAAAATATTTGGGGGAAAATAACAGTGGAACTGTAGTCACATGGGACAGGACATTGCCTTGTACTCTACAGTAGGGCTGCACGATTCTTGCTAAAAAGTGAAGCACGGGAATTGAGATCACGATTCTTTCACACAATTCTCATTTTTTTCAACCAAAACTTTTATTGCACTCCAGTAAAAAAAAAAGAAAAAAAAAGTGCTGTCTATACAGGACTTTCAGATAAAATAAAGTTCTGGACTCCTTATTTTAGACCTCTTAAAGTGAGTAACTTAAAAGCTGTAAGCTGTTGAACATAAATAATTCAATGTTAACAATAATAAATAAAAAAAACTAACATTATAATCGGCTGATACCGATACCAATACAAGTGATACGTAAGCTCTCTGTTGACTTTCACTGTTAACCTTTTTTTACAGATAAAATAATATCACAGATGTTGCCTTCATTGTATTATTTACAGTAATGTTGTTTATTGTTGTATTAACTGAGAAATACGCACAACAAATACTCATTTTACAATGAACATTCTAACAGGCCTTTAAAAACTGAGCTTTCACAAAACTATCTATATTAAGATACTTTGGCTTATTAAAAACCTGATTAAACTGAACAAAACTGTAACCCATTAGGTGAGGGCCATCAGTCATTGCAGTTAAGGTCTCTGCACACTGAGTCCGAATGTTTCGTCCGAAATTTTCGCACGTTGAAAAATAAATACGACCTCACGTTGTGTCAATCACGTTTACACACTGCCTCCGAAACTTTCGTCCGTCATAAAAAAATTCAGACCAGGTTCGATTTTCTGCATTTTCGCATCCGTAGCAAGCATTTTGATAGGAAAGGATGACGAACACGAAGAAAAAAACCCGGAAAAATGCATATGAAAATTTCAGACTCAGTGTGCAAGGACCTTTACATTGTTAGGGACTGTCTTTATGAATGCGTCATCATTAAACCATCTATTCAACGAATACACTTAAAACACAGATTCATTCTTGTATTAAACAAGGTGTTGAAATCAATTTAACTTTGAGCGCCACTTTCCAAGCGTCAATCGAACAGCAACATATCACCATTCAATGCACTGAACAGCACTGATGCAGGAAATCCCCTTACTACAACAAATATATCGCTTTCATCTTCTGACAACTGATACTGTTTCACTAATATATGTGACTCTGGACCACAAAACCAGTCTTAAGGGTCAATTTTTTTAAATAGAGATTTATATACATCTGAAAGCTGATCAATAAGCTTTCCATTGATGTATGGTTTGTTAGGATAGGACAATATTTGGCCCGAGATACAACTATTTGAAAATCTGGAATCTGAGGGTGCAAAAAAATCTAAATATTGAGAAAATCGCCTTTAAATTTGTCCAAATTAAGTTCTTAGCGATGCATATTACTAACCAAAAATTAAGTTTTGATATATTTACAGAAGGAAATTTACAAAATATCTTTATGGAACATGATCTTTACTTAATGTTAGAGCTGGACGTTTTGGCATAAAAGAAAAATTTATAATTTTGACCCATACAATGGATTTTTGGCTATTGCTACAAATATTCCCCAGCGACTTAAGACTGGTTTTGTGCTCCAGGGTCACATAAGACAGGGCAGACGCAGGTAATCGCACACGCTCAGTTCCAGCGTGACCTGAATGCAGGGAAACACGTGCAAGTGAATCACAGTCATTTAGATATGAGATTGCATTTATGTATGAATCGAGATCATGATGATTTTTTTTTTGATGATGAATCGTGCAGCCCTACTCTACAGTGTTTCTATGAGGGGAACTCTACGGCGGGACCAAGCTGAGGAGATCCTACTCTTGAGCTGCTCTACCCACCATGGCACAAGAGTTCTGGACACTCTGCGGTGGGAGCTGAACGGCCCAGAATACCTTTTACCAGAACACCTGAGAACCAGCAAAAAACACCCTGAACTTCAATTGCACTTCGATATATAGGTGAACGTCCCCAAAAAAAAAAAATAAAAAAAAAAAAATCACCAC